GAGGAGGAGGGTGCAGGTGCTGCGGATGCTTCTAGACTTCAGTAGTAGCCATTGACAGTCGCACTCACCCAGACTGGAGCCTTCCCGTATGCTTCCCTGTGGGTTTGGCAAGAGTAAGACTAGCCCCACGGGTTGGGTACTTGATTATCTGCAGCTTAAGGAGCGCAAATAACTTTGGCATCCAAACGGAGTGCCCAGAAAATGATGTTGAAAATTGAGGCCCTCGGGGTAATTGAAACTTGAGGCCCTGTATTTTGCTCCCAGACTCCGTATGTTCCTTTGATAGCCGCTTCCAGAATCAGACCCACCCTTTCCAGAGCACTGCATTGAACAGCCAGAAGAAGCTAGATCAGGGCACAAGGAGAATCTGCGATTGCTGGGAAACCCGTCTGATTGTATCGCATTTCCTTTCTACAGATGCAAGCCCCAGAGTCGGTCCAGGGGAGTCAAAATCAGCGTATTTTCCAGCCATCTCATATACCGCAGCAGAATACCATGGGCTACTTCCTCCAGCCACAGCAACAAAGCCACCATCCGCAGGGTCAGTCCTGCAACTTACAGGACTTGCCTGAAATGCAGCTGCCCTGAAAGCCAGGGCATGAGGAGAAGGTGATGAGTCGCAGCTGCTGTGTTGAGCAGCAGTCAGGGGAAGGACGGCGAAATTCGAGGCGAGAAGGCCCTCCTCATGTGCCAGAGGGGTGAGGGTTAGCCCAGAGGGAAACATGGCAGCATGGAGGAAGGTCCCAGCAGGAGAGCAGGATCGCCAAATGGGTACCTTGTCGATTACCATTTTTATGTATTCAGTCCTTGATGCGGCCCAGCGACAGGATCAATGCAAAGTCTGGATTCATTAAGCACCAGGACCGTTCGACTAAACACAGTTTAACTGTGACCAGCTAGAACTCCCGTTCACATACATCCTGTCAACATGGGCTATTAAGTGCTAAAAGTATTTGGAGGCTAAAATCAGGATAGTAGGAACTGGTCGTGGTGCTCTTGCCTGCCAAAGCTAATCTGCAAAGGCGGTTAGAGACTTGTTGATCAAAAATGGTTGACTTAGGTAGGAAAATGAGCTCTGAAGTCATATGTGGCTGTTATTGGTCACTAAGCCAGACACAGCGCAGCAGGACCATTCCTTTGGACTGCAATATGGATTTCTAGCTGCAGGCACGTTATTAATCAGGTCAGTGCAAAGATCACTTTGCAACTGAGAAAATATTTTCAATTCAGGACACAGACGCTCCTTTTACATAATGCTGAAATTCACTGTGAATTTAAGACCAGTGTTCGGAACACAGAAAACTGTCAGAATCAGCAGGATCCCAGTTAATTATCGTGTACATAATTCGCTTTGTTGTAGTAGGTTCATTGTGGATTTTGTTTCCTTTTTTCCTATACCTCAATCCCAGAATTAGTTTTTTTCAGATGATTGGATAATGCTGCTAATTTCTGTACCACCACTCTTGCCTAAATTTCGTACTGTTGTTATACCAACTCACGTCACCAGTAATAAGATACGTGTGCAGATAAATTTATATGTTTTTATTCCCTGGAGCCAAGTATTTTTCAGGGTGTACCAACAAGGAGTCCTTATATTTTCCACGGGACCTTGCAGTACATGCTTCTTTACACCTGAAAATCAGATGAAGGCAAACTTTGTGGTTTTGCTAGTTCATGTTTCAATTTGGCAAAGCTGAAATTTATACTAACGATGACCCAGGT